ACTAGACTGAACTAGAACTGAACTAGAACTGAACTAGAACTGAACTAGAACTGAAACTAGAACTGAACTAGAACTGAACTAGAACTGAACTAGAACTGAACTAGAACTGAACTAGAACTGAAACTAGAACTGAACTAGAACTGAACTAGAACTGAACTAGAACTGAACTAGAACTGAACTAGAACTGAACTAGAACTGAACTAGAACTGAACTAGAACTGAACTAGAACTGAACTAGAACTGAACTAGAACTGAACTAGAACTGAACTAGAACTGAACTAGAACTGAACTAGAACTGAACTAGAACTGAACTAGAACTGAACTAGAACTGAATTAGAACTGAACTAGAACTGAACTAGAACTGAATTAGAACTGAACTAGAACTGAACGAACTGAACTAGAACTGAACTAGAACTGAACTAGAACTGAACTAGAACTGAACTAGAACTGAATTAGAATAACTTTCTATATTTTTTATCCAGTGACACGATTTTTTAACATCAAGAAAATATGAAAATTTTTATGTTACAAATTATTTGAAATTTAGAACACCAAAAATCTTTAGGAGATCTAATTTACATTTCCATGTACATTATTTAATTTATAAACATACACATAAACTACATATTTAAATAAGATTAAGTATACATGTGGTCCTGTGGTATGTTTGTGTATGGAGATAAAAAGGAATTTTGTTTAATTCCAATAAAGCTAAAATAACCAATTAAATGTTTTTTTTAAAGAAAACATTTTATTTGAGTTAATAGAAATTCATTTAAGAATACAAACAAAATACATTTTAGTAATAAAAAAAAACTATAATAAGTTTTAAATCAATTAGAAATGGTTTCAGATTTTTAAGTCTTCAATCTATAGGAAATTTTATTATTATTTTTAACAAAATATTCTTAATGTAAAATTGGCTAAAGACAACCTCCGTATTAATAATGATATTAATTGTTTATTTAAGGTTTATTACGCACATTTTCCATACAAAATTCCTGCTATAAACCATCAACAACTTTATAAAGCATTTATGCATATGGGGGTAAGTACCTTGTCTCCTTCATATCAATCATATTCATAATTTATATTTTTGACATTTTCAAAGTGTCTAAAATAAAATTACGTTTCATCACCTGACATCGTCATAGAGTAATTAGAGTTATAAATTTATTACTATTTTATTCAGCGCTCAAAGTCGTTGGCATTACGTAAATGTCATCCTTGGGCATTTTCGGTTGAAATAGTTTATTTTGCGTAGCAGTTAATATTGTGACTGCCATTTCATAAAGGATATTAGTAAGAGCAGGAATATTTTTATTACAGTGTTTTTTCATTCTGCAATTTTAATAAACTAAACTGCCAAAGAAAAACAGATGCATTTATAAGCAGGCTTTGGGCATTTGCTTGTCATGGCAGTGTTTAGAGTTAAAAATTCCTAAGTGATCGTGGTAGGCTTATTTACTAACTGTTAAAATTTATGGTATTAAGTTGAATGTGGATGTAGTTATTTTATTTCATATATGATCACCTTGTTGACATTTTATATTTTTTGAGCAAAGCTGTAGTTTTTCGAAATTTTTCTTACATGTGAATGACGATCATAGAATGATCAATGATGAATGTGTCTGTCCAACAAGATCCTTCATCGGCTAGAATAGAGATGTACATAATAGTATAGTCTATAATAAGATAAGTCTAGGCTATAGACTAGACTATAGACTAGACTATAGACTAGACTATAGACTAGACTATAGACTAGACTATAGACTAGACTATAGACTAGACTATAGACTAGACTATAGACTAGACTATAGACTAGACTATAGACTAGACTATACCGAAGTTTGGACTATAGACTAGCATGTGTACTATATTATGTAGCCTGTACTAGAGATTATGCTTAACTTTAGACTATATATAGTATGAACTACTATAGATGGATAAACCTAAGCCGATTTCCATGCACAACATAGTATTCCATACTTTCGTCTAATCCAACATGTTTATCCTCCATAAATCAAAGATGTTACAAAATTCTACTTTAACTATCGCTACATAAAAATTGTATTATATTACATCTGCATCAATAAAATTCTACTTAAAACAAAAAACACATTACAATAAAATGCTATCGGCCAAATGATGAATACTTAATAAATAATTTAAAATTAAATTTTACGACTACAACAAGTACGTGAACATGTAAATGGTGGAAAAGATAATTACAAATTATTGCAACATCATCATTGTCATCATCATCAACAAGAACAGCAATAACATGTTGCATTAAACAATATTTTCAAGTTGTGTGACCAGTGACAGTTAAAATAAAACCAAATGTCTGAAGGCGTTTTCGCAGATATTCCCAAATTATTAAATAATCATATAAGTCGTATGCAAAACACATTGATAAAATAATTATTATTACTTTTTTTTTTGCGAAACTTTCGTTGCAATGAAACTGAAATGCATTTAATGTTGTAATTAAATTGTTCATGTTTACAGCTAAAATAAGTTAAATATACTACAAGAGTATATTAAATATGCAAATGACATGGTATGTTGTGTTTCGTAGTTGCTAAAGGCATTTCGCTGTAGGGTTATTTTAAGGCAGTGAAAGGATAGTGTTGTTTGGCTTTGCTTTTTGGCAAAGCAGGTGATGTAATTGAAGATAATAATAGGATTAGCAAAATGTCAAAATTTTAAATGAGTTATGTTGAATAAGCAACATGTAGGATGATGTTAACAATGTAAGCCGATTGGTTTTTTTTACAAGGCAGATATTTACGATATAGCGCGCTATTCTTTAATGTAGCTAAAGCTGCACTTTTATTCAAAATTCTTCATATTACTATATTAGAACTGGATTTATAAAATTGGTTGTAATTCAAAGAATAACGTTTCAATGAAGAAAATCTGTTTTTAGTCCAAGGAAGTATATATTATAGATCCTTATTAGATTCTACAACAATTTAGCCATGTTAGTTCGTCTGTCGGTGTATCTTTCGGTTGAAACCAAGATAATGCCCGAAAGGAAAGAGCTAGAAATATCGGACGATTTTTTCACCTAAGTAGCTCCCATACATATAGTCCACCGAAATATAGTTTAAGAAATCAGAACTGGATTAAAAATACGAACCAAACTGTCTGCACTAGATTTTACGATGATCGATCCATAATTGCTCTATTCATCGTATAAAGTCCCCATCAGAAACACTCATTACTGACTTTAAAATAAGGGTACAGCGGTGAAATTCGATATAAACAAGGTTTATAGGAAGTAAATATTCCCACCGAATTTCATGTGCATCGGTCGTTAATACGAGCAAGTTGCTCTGTTACAGACAACTTTCTAGAAAAGTTGCTCTGTTACAGACAACTTTTCTATAGAAAAAGTTGCTCTGTTACAGACAACTTTTCTATAGAAAAAGTTGCTCTGTTACAGACAACTTTTCTATAGAAAAAGTTGCTCTGTTACAGACAACTTTTCTATAGAAAAAGTTGATCTGTTACAGACAACTTTTCTATAGAAAAAGTTGCTCTGTTACAGACAACTTTTCTATAGAAAAAGTTGCTCTGTTACAGACAACTTTTCTATAGAAAAAGTTGCTCTGTTACAGACAACTTTTCTATAGAAAAAGTTGCTCTGTTACAGACAACTTTTCTATAGAAAAAGTTGCTCTGTTACAGACAACTTTTCTATAGAAAAGTTGCTCTGTTACAGACAACTTTTCTATAGAAAAGTTGCTCTGTTACAGACAACTTTTCTATAGAAAAAGTTGCTCTGTTACAGACAACTTTTCTATAGAAAAAGTTGCTCTGTTACAGACAACTTTTCTATAGAAAAGTTGCTCTGTTACAGAAACTTTTCTATAGAAAAAGTTGCTCTGTTACAGACAACTTTTCTATAGAAAAAGTTGCTCTGTTACAGACAACTTTTCTATAGAAAAAGTTGCTCTGTTACAGACAACTTTTCTATAGAAAAAGTTGATCTGTTACAGACAACTTTTCTATAGAAAAAGTTGTTCTGTTACAGACAACTTTTCTATAGAAAAAGTTGCTCTATTTCAGACAACTTTTCTATAGAAAAAGTTGCTCTATTTCAGACAACTTTTCTATAGAAAAAGTTGCTCTATTTCAGACAATTTTTCTATAGAAAAAGTTGCTCTATTTCAGACAACTTTTCTATAGAAAAAGTTGCTCTGTTACAAATAACTTTTCTATAGAAAAAGTTGCTCTGTTACAGACAACTTTTCTATAGATAAGGATACATTTGATAATAATTCTATAGTCACAACAGAAAGCGGTACTGGTAGCATTTCTTTTTCCCGAAATTGCAATAACAACAAGATGGGGAATATTCATCAAGGTAACGTGACCCCAGCAAACGGCTTTCACACAAAATTACTATGTTTGCCTTAAAAATGAAATTTTAATAGAAAATGTCAATGCTTACAAGTAAGTACTTACATATAAAGTTTTTGTAAGTCATTACTACAGTCCTTCTAAGTAATGCAGACGACCATTGAAAAGTAAGTTTTTGGGTAAGTACAATCCCTTACCATTCCACCAAAAACATGGTAATGATGCAACAACTTAATTTTCAACGACTAATAATAATACTTACGAGAAATTCAAAATCAGAAAAATAAAGTAGATATGAAGAAGATAATGACAATGAGTTTTATTATTTAGGCTCATAAAACCGATTTTACTGAGCGCACATAATTTCTTCATTATATTTTAACAATCGTCAGAGAATTTCTATTACGCCTCTTGGAATCGACAATCTTGCCGAATGAATTAAAAGTCAAATATTTACGTTTATTCACATAAAAATCACAATAAGTAGAAAATTCCAATTCGGGTACATAGGGCGGTATGTAATAATCATTTATGGTAAAATTTCTAATAAAATAATACACATTCTGAAAGTTAACAAAAAAGCCACTTGTATTTTAATATTCGGAATTTTATCCTATTACTATGTCTTACCTTTTTCAAAGGACATTCGAGTGGTAAATTACTGGTGCGTAATATTTCCAGGGAAATCATTTTCAAGAGAAAATGTTTATGTGCCGCACTCAAAGCTTCACAAATATCTATATTCATATTCAAATAAGTTTCGTATAGAGTTGGGCCACGTTTTATTTTCACCTGGAAATTAGCCATTATATTGTGGAGATCACGTTTGAATTTAAATCCTGTATTCATGGTTAAAAATCCTTTGGAATTTTTTACCAAAGTACAATTGTAATCCGTTACGATTTCAACATGTGGTTGGGGACACTCTAAATGTGTATAGATGGCGTACTGTTTTAATTATTATTTTTTTAATTAAAATAATAACATTCGTAATGCATTATTAAAATAATGTTATTAATTATATTTTACCTTTTTAGCGGTTAATAGCGGTAAACAAATTAAGCAAATTAAGAAATTTATATAATTTGTCATTTTAAGCGCTGTTGTTTCTTCTTCTAAATGTGACTTCATTATGAAAATTTGCTATAAATTTGTTTAAATTAATTTGAATAATTAAACATTTTATCAAAATGTTTATAATTTCATTTTAATTATGAAACAAAAACTCTAGCAAAAACTTTGGTAAAGACATTTAATTGTAACCACTTATCTATTAACATAGGTAACTAACTAATTGGTAATAACTTGTACTTACCCCAGAACTTACTTTTCAATGACTACTACATACCGTCTGCATGACTTAGAAGGAGTCTAGTAATGACTTATAAACAACTATATACATACGCAAGTACTTTCTCTTTTGCCTTAATATTTTGATTTTTAATACTTTTGAATGAAAGTTTTTGCTGGGAAACAATAAAATTATTGTATTAGTATATGTCATGTAATGGTTAGAAAATATTTAGCTGAAATAAATAAAAGCCAGCTTTTGAATCCAACATCGGAAAAATGTATACTGGAATAAAAATTTAAATTGTCTTCATGACAAAACCTATGGAAATTTGTAAAATGACCACAACATTCTATCCAACGAAGTAATATTTAAAGTTTAATAATATAAAATACTTAATCTATTTTTAATTGTCTATTATAACGATTTGTTTGGAGTTATATTATTACATTAACCCTTGATTCAGCATGTCACGTAAATGTTTCAGTTTAGATAATAGTAAAGTAGGTATTTTTCTATAGAAAAAGTAGCTCTGTTACAGACAACTTTTCTATAGAAAAAGTTGCCCTGTTACAGACAACTTTTCTATGAAAAAAGTTGCTCTGTTACAGACAACCTTTCTATAGAAAAAGTTGCTGTGTTACAGAGCAAAAGTTGGTCTGTTACAGACAACTTTTCTATAGAAAAAGTTGCTCTCTTACAGACAACTTTTTTATAGAAAAAGATGCTCTGTTACAGACAACTTTTCTATAGAAAAAGTCGCTGTGTTGCAGACAACTTTTCTATAGAAAAAAATCGCTGTGTTACAGACAACTTTTCTATAGAAAAAGTCGCTGTGTTGCAGACAACTTTTCTATAGAAAAAGACGCTGTGTTACAGACAACTTTTCTATAGAAAAAGTCGCTGTGTTACAGACAACTTTTCCATAGAAAAAGTCGCAGTGTTACAGACAACTTTTCTATAGAAAAAGTCGCTGTGTTACAGACAACTTTTCTATAGAAAAAGACGCTGTGTTACATACAACTTTTTATAGAAAAAGTCGCTGTGTTACAGACAACTTTTCTATAGAAAAAGTGCTTTGTTACAGACAACTTTTCTATAGAAAAAGTTGCTTTGTTACAGACAACTTTTCTATAGAAAAAAGTTGCTCTGTTACAGACAACAAAAGTTGCTCTGTTACTGACAACTTTTCTATAGAAAAAGTTGCTCTGTTACGGACAACTTTTCTATAAAAAAAGTTTCTCTGTTACAGACAACTTTTCTATATAAAAAGTTTCTCTGTTACAGACAACTTTTCTATAGAAAAAATTTCGCTGTTACAGACAACTTTTCTATAGAAAAAGTTGCTGTGTTATAGACAACTTTTCCATAGAAAAAGTTGCTGTGTTATAGACAACTTTTCCATAGAAAAAGTTGCTGTGTTATAGACAACTTTTCTATAAAAAAGATTGCTGTGTTATAGACAACTTTCTATAAAAAAGGTTGCTGTGTACAAGAAAAAGTTGCTAGGTTACAAACAACTTTTCTATAAAAGAATAGTTGCTCTATTACAGACAACTTTTCTATAGAAAAAAGTTATTCTGTTCCCTTAACTGACCTAAATAATTAAATACCAATATAACAGCTTCCGGTAATAAATAAAGAAATACACACAAAATAAATTAAAAATTTTTGAAATGAAAAGTATGTTGTTTAAACGTATTAAGCTACTGTTATGTAAAAAATAAATAAGGAAACAATAACAATTGATGTTCTACTCAAAAATTATAATCAACTCGCTGCTAATCATTGTTATTAAAACTATTCATATATTTTTTTGTTTTTAAGTTTATATCGTATGGTTCAAGTACACTTTGTTTTTAATTTAACATCCATAATCATTGAACATAAACTTAATGATCAGACTACGTGTATTAAATATTGAAAAGTAAGTAACTTTTTGCTCAAACACATTTTTGAACATACTCGCAAAGTACGTTTACTTGCTAACAACTTGAAAAATATTGAGGTAGTCCTTTGTCCAGTTAGCTTAGGCAGCCAGCCAGTTAGGCCGCCTGCCTTCCTGGCTGCTGTCTGTCTGTCTGTCTCTTTGACGGACTAATTATTGGGCCATATATTTTTATTTAAGGGTCATGTTATTGCATGTTTAAATAATTATAGGTTTCTGTGGATGACACCAATGGGCAATTTGGTTGTGTTTTACTTTTAGTTCCATTAAGAAAAACTGTAGTTGGGTACGAGCTAAAAAGCAGCAATTTTTTTTGTTTTTATAAATTTTTTAATAATATGTTGTTTAAACAAGTGAGAGTTAATTATATTCGGTTATAATGTATTTTAAAAGTACTGCACTAAAATATGTTTGAAAGAAAAAAGTGATCGGCCTTAGGTAGGGTCTTTGGGCTTAAAAGTAGGGGCATTAAAATAACAATAGTACAGAAATGTAACTTTATAAAACCTTTAAAAAAGGCTGCTAATAAACAAATTTAACTTGTTTTTTTTTTTTTTTTATTTGACAAGTCTTTTTTGGAACTTATGAAATTATGTATGTTTACATTAATTTTTCAACACTGTTAACTTACAAGAAAAATTCTTCTTCAATTTTACAAAAATTTCACAAATTTGTAAAAGAAACTTTATCCGACCAGAAAAAGTAAAAGTTTTTCCCAAAAACATATCGTGTTATATAAATATTTAAAATTTTGAATTAAACAAAAATTTTAAATTGATTAAAAAGTAAAACACAAAAACATGTTGTAATTTTCCCTGTTTTTAATATAAAGTTTTTTTTAGAAAAAAAAAAGAAAACAGACTCCCAAGTTGAGTGTCATGTTAATTGTTTATAAGGAGAAAACAAACTTGGTTGGTTGTTTCGGTATAATTGCTACTTGGAGACATAATTTTTTGCCTCATCTTCTTGTTTAAGTTGTGCCAACATTTTGTTAAGGACATATAACATTTATATTGCGAATGTGTTGTTTGGTGACCAAACATATTCACTCCCCTTTTTTTTTTTTGGTTGAAGGCGAATAAATGTTTATTTAGAGCTCATTTCTTTCAGATTTCTTTACTATATAGTATAAGCATCATCCATCCATTCATGTAAACTCCATTCTTTCCATTTATTTTCTGTTTATTATATTCGTTTTTTCTTGTTTTTTTTCGGAAAATAAATTTAACAACTGTTTTTTTTTTTCTTATTACAAGTACTTGTACTTTAGTTGAATACTTACATACTTTGAGTGTATATTTCTCATGCCAGGCATAATGTTCCTTCTATTAAAAATTTTTTATATTTTCACAGCTTTTTTTGTTCTATAGGTTTAAATAAATAGATGAGGGAGGATTGAACAGAGCAGCATTTTCTATAGAAAAGTAGTCTGAAATAGTGTAATTTTTCTATAGAAAATTTGTCTGAAACAGGGCAACTTTTTCTATAGAAAAGTTGTCTGTAACAGAGCAACTTTTTCTATAGAAAAGTTATCTGAAACAGAGCAACTTTTTCTATAGAAAAGTTGCCTGAAACAGAGCAACTTTTTCTATAGAAAAGTTGCCTGAAACAGGACGAATTTTTCTATAAAAAAGTTGTCAGAAACAGGGCAACTTTTGGTATACAAAAGTTGTCTGAAAAAGGGCAACATTTTCTATAGAAAAGTTGTCTGTAACAGAGCAACTTTTTCTATAGAAAAGTAGTCTGAAACAAAGTATCGTTTTCTGTGGGAAAATAGTCTCAAAAAGGGGAAAGTTTTCTATAGAAATGTTATCTGAAACAGGGCAACTTTTTTTATAGAAAAGTTTTCTGTAACAGAGTTACTTTCTATAGAAAAGATGTCTGAAAAAGAGCAACTTTTTCTGTAAAAAAGTTGTCTGAAACAGAGCAACTTTTTCTATAGAAAAGTTTTCTGAAACATAGAAACTTTGTCTATAGAAACGTTGTCTGTAACACAGCAACTTTTTTTATAGAAAAGTTGTCTCTAATACAGCAGCTTTTTCTATAGAAAAGTTGTCTGTAACACAACAACCTTTTCTATAGGAAAGTTGTCTGTAACACAACAACCTTTTCTATAGAAAAGTTGTCTGTAACACGGCAAACTTTTCTATAGAAAATTTGTCTGTAACACAGCTACCTTTTCTATAGAAAAGTTGTCTGTAACACAGCTACCTTTTCTATAGAAAATTTGTCTGTAACACAGCTACCTTTTCTATAGAAAAGTTGTCTGTAACACAGCTACCATTTCTATAGAAAAGTTGTGTGTAACACAGCTACCTTTTCTATAGAAAAGTTGTCTGTAACACACCTACCTTTTCTATAGAAAAGTTGTCTGTAACACAGCTACCTTTTCTATAGAAAAGTTGTCTGTAACACAGCTACCTTTTCTATAGAAAAGTTGTCTGTAACACAGCAACCTTTTCTATAGAAAAGTTGTCTGTAACACAGCAACCTTTTCTATAGAAAAGTTGTCTGTAACACAGCAACCTTTTCTATAGAAAAGTTGTCTGTAACACAGCAACTTTTTCTATAGAAAAGTTGTCTGTAACACAGCAACTTTTTCTAGAGAAAAGTTGTCTGTAACACAGCAACTTTTTCTAGAGAAAAGTTGTCTGTAACACAGCAACTTTTCTAGAGAAAAGTTGTCTGTAACACAGCAACCTTTTCTATAAAAAAGTTGTCTGTAACACAGCAACCCTTTTCTATAGAAAATTTGTCTGTAACACAGCAACCTTTTCTATAGAAAATTTGTCTGTAACACAGCAACCTTTTCTATAGAAAAGTTGTCTGTAACACAGCAACCTTTTCTATAGAAAATTTGTCTGTAACACAGCAACCTTTTCTATAGAAAAG